CAATCTGGCGCATAGTGCCCCAATTTTCGTGTTCGAGTACCGGTGGTGCCAAGTATGTTTGTAGTGGTTCGATCCCCTTTAAATTGTAGGTCCATGTTTAATATGATTGTAGAGGTTGGGCGTACAACCCTGCCCGTAAAAGAAAAAAAAATCTCATGTTTCGAAATCTGCCAGTAGGCAGATTCCCACCATGGGGTGGTTGTGCCAATGAAGAAGAAGAAATGTTCAATAGTAAATTTCAATTTTTAATAATAAATTTCAAATTTGTTCAATTTTTAAACTGTCCTGTATTTTATGATCTAATTTATTATTGTTTAATGTACCTAGAATATATAATATAACTTAGATAGTACTGGAATTTTAATGTATCCATTATAGCACTCTAAGTAAGTCTTAAAAAGTCTACTTCCTTAACTTTTTGTAAAGTATTTCAAGGAAAACGAAAAAGTTGCACATTTCCTTGATTCTCAAATTTTAAAATTTTTGAATATGTTTCGTTATAAAACACAACTATTAAATATTATCTGACATTCACTTAAGCAAAAGCAATGTCAGATTATACAGTTGAGTTATGGCCCATTTGTTTTCTTCTTAAGAAAAAAACTTTGGATTGTTATTGTTTTTCTAAATTTTTTTCTGTCTAGCTAAATTTCTGTCGTTATAAAATGAATAAAAGGAAATTAAATATTTATTTTCTTATTCACTCTAAAAAATAAATAAACCCTAAAGAGATTTCAGAGATGCATGAATTCTTATAACAATCTAAAAAGATACTACATATCAGTCTACACAGATTCCATTGTAATATAACTTTCTAAATTAAGACCAGTCCTAATTAAAAAGGTAGCTGAGACTTCCATCCATTAGCTTGATGATTTCCCAGCTAATTAACACAGAGTCATTTTGGCGAAAAGAAAACCCTACCTCCACTTAACGATATAAACCCGACCACTTCGTTTCTGAACAGAGCACACGGAAGTAGGATGCAGCCCACTTACGCTAAGCGATTACTCAAAATACGAATGCTAAGTCTAAACATACCTATAGAAGATAAACAGTATCTTGGGATGGGATGTCTGTAACATAATAGCTCGGGCAGGGTGGCCTTCACTTTTTGCCAGCAAGAAAATCGTACAGTTCCGTTTCATTAGGTAACGGCTATTTAAGCTATTGCCATGCATTCTTGATCTCCCAGTAAGTAATGGCTATTGAATAAATGGCTATTTTCACGGATATCACAATGAAATTCTCTCTCATATACAAAAATTGTTGAGAAAATAACGAAATTTCTTTAAAATGTAAAAGAATCCTATGTGGACCATTTGTAATTGTTATGAAAAACATTCTTTTCATTGTTATTATCATGTATGAAGATGATGTTGTCCTGGTTAGGGGTCCGTGACGTTATTCGAAAATGAGGGCCCAGCAAATAAAACTCAATTGAAAATTTTGGAGGAAAATGGTACTTTGGGTCCCTTGACTTTTGAAATGATTCATGAATAACGTTAATCTTAAGGAATTTGACTTTTGTCTGAAGTGTTTTGTTGTAAAATATTTTAACGTGAGATTGAATAAATGGCTATTTTCACGGATATCACGAATAAATTCTCTCTCATACACAAATTACCAAGATAAAAATTGTTGAGAAAAAAAAAGATTTCTTAAAAATGTAATAATGCCTATATGGCCCATTCGTAATTCTTATATAAGAAAGAACTTTAGATTGTTATTGTTTTCTTAATTTTTTTTTTTTTTGTCTTTATAAAACAAGTAATATATATAAAAAAAAATTTAAAATCAATCTACTTTTCACACTATATTGCAGAAAGTCCTTTATAAATAATTTTCATTCATTTTTTTAAGTTTATCTGGCGCCATCTATCGGTAAATATATGCAACTTAAATCTAAAAAAAAAAACTAAAATTAATTAATTGAATTTAATTACTGAATTAATATTTGAAAAAACTGTATTAACATCAGTGTCATCCACTACAAGTTGAAAAAAATGTATTTGAACTTGGTGGATGAATAGCAAAATTTTATGAACGATTGAAAATTTGGAACAAAAAAGTATATATATATAGGGAGAGTGTAAAAGCTAATAGAAGGAATTGAATAAATAAAAGGAAATTAATTATTTATTTTTGTATTCCTTTTAAAAAAAAAATCCCTAAAGATATTACAGATATGCATGAATTCTTATGATAAACCTAAAAGAATACATCTCAGATATTGTAAAATATCTTTCTAAATTAAGATTGATCGTAATTAAAGGTAACTGAGACTTCATCCATTAGCTTGATGATTTTCCAGCTAATTAACACAGAGTCATTTTGCGATAGCGAAACCCTACCTCCACTTTAGCGATATAAACCCGACCAAGTTGCAAGAAGCATCCTTCGTTTCTGAACACACGGAAGTAGGATGCAGCCCACTTACACTAAGCGATTACTCAAAATACGAATGTTAAGGTTAAACATACCTATAGAGAAGAGATAAACAGTATCTTGGGATGGGATGTCTGTAACATAATAGCTTGGGCAGGAAACCTAGCCTTCACTTTTGCCAGCAAGAAAATCGTGCAGTTCCGTTTCATTAGAGTAACGGCTATTTAAGCTATTACCATGGATTCTTGATCTGGCAGTAAGTAATGGCTATTCGTTTCCTTTTTCAGATAAATACTGACTTCGAAGACAATGATCCATATTGGAGTCTCTTTAAAAGTTCATTATGTTTTAGACCAAGTAATGTGTCTCTGTGAGTTCTGGCTTTTGTTTTTACAAATGACACAAGTAGGAGAATCTAAATGGGAATGGAATAGAATGTGGAGCAGATTTTAAAAGAGTTTTGTTTGAAAGATATGGGAGCAAGAGTTGATTGCTGGCACTTTATGATGATCCAGATTGTGTTCTCTAAAGTTCAATCACAAATCATCAGTTGTATTTTAAACGTATTTCTTTCATCTGCTTTTGGAGAAAGCATGCATAGATACATTCTAAAATTCATGCATTTTGGAATTAAATGGCTTTTCTTGCTTATGTAACAATATGTATAATAATGGATGAATGTTTGTGTGTATGCTCCAGCATAGATTAAAAACTATAACTCACAGAAGTTTTTATTCTTTGGTATTTATTTTTCGTTACAAAATTCGTAGCCAAAAATTGTGAAAACATTTTTATGAATTATTTTTAATTAAATAAAAAACTTAAATACTTATTACTATTGGAAATTCCAAACCAGTGAGTTGGGCATGATTTGGTTTGGTTTGCTGTTCTACAATAATTTTGTGCACATTTTTTAGGCAAATGAGACGGAAATCTACAGTTTAACGTGGATTCCGAACCACTCACAAACATCCATGCCACCGCCAGGATTCAGAGCCTGAAGTCCATGGTTCCAAAGGCCAGAGTGCTAGCCAATTGGTCATAAGGCCAGATTGGGCGGGAAGGTAAGAAACCTACCCCTTCAAAAAAAAATAATTCTCATGTTTCGAAATCTGCCCGTAGGCAGAACAGTTCTGTGAGTTGTACTTTAAACTAATTTCTTACCATCTGCTTTTAAAGAAAATATACGTAAATATGTTCTAAGATCCATGCATTTTTTGAATTAAATGACTTTTATTGCTTATTTAACAATTGTATAATAAATATAAAAATGAATGTAGTTATGTTTGTGTGTATGTCCCACCATTAATTAAAAATTATAACACATAAAAGAAGTTCAGTTTTTATTCTTTGAATTTTTTTTTTTTTTTGTCTAAAATTTCGTAGTCAAAAATTTCGAAAACATTTTTAAGAATTATTTTTTAATTAAATGAAAATCTTATTTTCATATTACTACTAGAACTTCCAAACCAGGGTGTTAAGTGCAGGGCTAACAAACGTACCCAGTAAAAAAAAAATAATTCTCATGTTTCGAAATCTGCCAGTAGGTAGGGGCCTTGGTCCATCATGCACTGTTGATTTGTTGCTCTACGGTCATTTTGTGCACACTTCAGGCTGATTAGACCGGACCAACAGTTTAACATGGATTCTGAATCCCTAACAAACATACATGCCCCTCGCCAGGATTCAAACCTGAAGGTCAAAAACGCTAGCCAATTGGCCATCTGGTCACCATGGGCTGTTGATCCAAATATGATCATGACGATTCGAACCTCAGGACATTAGAAGGGAGACAGCTCTTTAAAATAAGGTGAACAAATTTACAGTATTAGTTTTCAATTTATTATCTAAATTAAGCTGTTATATTCTTCAAAAGAAATGCTAACACATTAAAGTTTTTTAAAAAATTACTGGAAATTCTTGGATGAGAATGTTGCTTTATTTAGCCAATTTATATTATTTAAAAAGCCGAGTTACTTAAAATATCAGTGTTTCATTCCAGCACAGATATTTTTTTTTTGACAAAATTTATCAAAAATTAAAATGTTTAAATTTTTGTAAGAATAAATTCTTCATTGCCACCACATCCTCATGGACGGAAGGATGGAGGGAGGAAGAGCCCATTTCGAGACAGGCGATGGTTTATTTTTACAGGATAAGGTTGTCAGCCCCTACGTCCACGCTCTACAATCCTTTAGACCGGGACCTACAGTTTAAAGTCGATTCGAACCATTAAAAACACCTGTGACACAAGAGGATGCCGGATAATATCAACTAGTATAAAATAAAATCTCTTTAAACTAAAATACTTTCCATCTAAGAATAAAGTTATCTTTTATTATTACAGAAGTCCGAAAAATAAAGAAGACCGAATTAACTAATCTTTTTGGACATGAAAGCCTTTTGTAGCCAATGTAGTTTTTAGAATAAAATTAGAAAACGGTTTTGGTTTGCATTTTTAAAATCATAATAAATTCTCATCATTTGTGCAACAGCCCCATGGTGGTCCAGGGTCGTCTGCCTGCTGGCAGATTTCGAGACAGGAGATGCTTTCTTTTTACGGGGTACGGTTGTCGGCCCAACGCCTGACAAGCATATTAGACCTTGACCTACGGTTTAAAGCGGATTCGAACCACTACAAACATCCATGTCACCAATGGGACTCCAGCCCGAAACCTGTGGCACCAGGGACCAGAGCGTTAATCACTCTGCCATCAGGCCCATTATATCTGCTATTATAAAATAAAGCCTCTATAAAATAAAATACTCTCCATCTAAGATTAAAGTTATTTTGTTATTATTACAGTTATTATTATCTGTTATATTATTTAAATCCAAAATATAGTTAAGAGGCCCAAATTAGCTATCATCTTTATGGACATGAATGCCTTTTGAGGCAACTGTTAATATTTGGAATAAAATTATAAAACGATTTTAAAATCATAATATAAACTATTTCACTAAAATAGTTCTCCATTATTTTTAAGAAATATTTTAATTTTAACCATGAGTTGTTAAGTGGTCATAACGAAAAAAATTAAGTCTAAAACCCAGTATAGTCATATTCGATGTCCTATTTACATAATTTTTCACTTTCTCTTACTGTTTCCATTTTCGACTATTCCGTTGATTCAGTCATAATTAATTCAGTGGCCTGCATAACTCGAGTTTGTGTGTGAAACATCTTGCTTCTATTCTACTTTTGACACGGAAGTTCCTTTTTTAGGATTCAACAGTTAGTGCAATGCTTTATTTTGCGGTTGGGGATATCCCTTATCATATTAGTTCCTTTTCTAAAAACGTTGCTTGAAATTTTTTTTCACGGATGATAAAACTGATAATTTCTTAAGTTGTCTCTTTATTTTTAGGTACCGGATTTTTTTTTTAATTCAAAGTTCCAAGAAAATTGTTCAGATAGTTTATCTTAAGAATTTTTGAACTGAGTGTCCCTGCCGATATCGATAAAAGTGTTTCAGATAATAATAAAGCTGACATAACTATTTGCCATATGATGTCATTGTAAAAAAATTGTCTGCATTTGAGTGTCGATGATATGGAAGAAATATTAGATTGTGAAATGACATATAACACACATTCCAGTATGGTTTTCATTAAATCGTGAAGTGAGTTTTGAGAAAATTCATATCATCTTCATCATTATTGGCGCAACATCCCCATGGTGGGCCGAGGACGTCTACCTATTGAGAGATTTCTAGACAGGAGATCTTCTTTTTTTTTTTTTTTTACGGAATAGAGTTGTCAGCCCTAGCGGCCAATGCTCTGAGGTCATATTAGATTGGGTGTCTGATGACCGTGTGGTACCACAGGTTTCGGGTTCGACTTCCGGTGGTGCCATGGATAGTTTTAGTGGTTAGAAATTCACTTTAAACTGTAGGTCTCGGTCTCATATGACCGTAGAGCATCACAGAGCTCAATCAGACTTCTTCTCACCCATATCATTCCCAAACTGTAAAGGGGGTATCTCGACTCTAGGCACAGTGTTATGGGGTGTTGTAGTAGTAGTCATATTAGACTGAGACTTACAATTTAAAGTGGATTACGAACCCCTACAAATATCCCTGGCACCTCCGGGAATCGAAAATTCGCATGTAACATCTTTAAATAATATCTTGTAACTGTGATCCCCCTACGCACTACAATAGCACCCTATGTGGCGTTCAAGAGAAATGGTCAGTAGGTTTCGAAACTCTCACCCGAGAGGAAGTACAGCGTAACCGGCACTACCGGAGAGAAATATTTACTACAGCGCAATCACGCGCTTCTGTTGAGAAACGTTTAGTTCGTAATCTCATCCCGAGAGGTAATACATTTAACACAACCCTGCTTATCAGTTGGCCTACAGACTCTCACCCGGTGAGGAAGTATCTTTCACACATCCAACTCGTACCGGAGTAAATTTTTTTAGGCTTAGAAGTGGAATCCTTCCACGAATCTAAGAGACCTAGCCACTCGGCCTAAGATGGCAGAATGGCTGGCGCTCTGGCACTCGGTACCACACACAGGTTTTGAGTTCGAGACCCGGTGGTGCCATGGATGTTTGTAGTGGTTCGGTATCTACTTTAAACCGTAGGTACCCTTCTAATATGATATATAGTGTTGTGGGGAAAGCACTGCCCCTCCTTCTTCAGCGACTCGGAGCCAAGTCAGACTTCTACCTACAGATGCTCCATCAGAACAAAAGCTGCCCCGCCCCTCCCCTCCTTACCCATGAAAACCAAATCCATTTTCCCGTCTCCCATGAGACCACACGGGTTCTTGGACTGGGTCTAGATGTTGCCGTCTACCAAGCAGGATGAGAAACATGGAATGCGTCTTTTAATTCTGGAATAACGAACATCACACAGAAGAAAAACCGCAAACAAGGATTCTCTTTCAACAAGTATACTAATTAGCGATGAAAAATATGTGACATAATTGACCATGACGACAAAAAAATAACCAACAACCAGGCATCGTAATTCTAACCATCCCATACCTAATTGGCACTTTTTCCGTTCATACAAAAAAGGACATCTTTTATGAAACACCGCGAACTACTATGTCGGAAATGTAAGATCAATTTTCAATTTAAACTTCCGGAGCTTACGAAATTTCAATTTTTTTTTTCTTTTTTAGGTTGCTGGCACTGTCCTTGGCATCTGTGTGAAATGTGACGACAAAATATTCATTAGTGTTGGAGTTACATTTGGCTATGTGAGACGCTAAAACGGATTCCGGCGGTTTTTGAAATGTCTGAATTCATCGAGAAAAGAACTTGCATTCAATTGTGTTTGCGGAAACGTACAGAATGTTGCAGAAGGCCTTCGGTGAGCATTCCTGTATCGGAAAGAAATGTTTAGAAGTAGTAAAAAACAGTTCAAAGAAGGCAGAGACCGCGTTGAAGACGAAGAGCCCTCTATTCGACCATCAACCGCAAACGACGAAGCTCACATCCAAAATTAAAGATTGGGTGCTTGCAAACCGTCAATTTACAATTAGAGACCTTGCTGAGGATGTTGGAATTTCAAAAGATCGGTCAATTCCATTGTGGGCCTCAAACGGGTCAAATCTCGATTGGTACCGAAAACACTGAATATTCCAGCTCACACTGCATTGATTCTTCGTGACTTTTCGCCAAAAATGATACCCTTAACCTTCCACGACCACCGTATTCACACCGTGTGACTTCTGGCTATTCTCTAAACTGAAAAGATCCCTCCGGAGACACCGTTTTGAGTCGACTGAAGAGGTTCAACGTGAATCGGCGCGCGCTTTGAAGGCCGTCCCTGTCGTTGACTTTTTAGCATGCATTGAGGATTGGAAAAAAAGTTGGCATAAGTGCATTGTGTCCGGCGGGGATTACTCTGAAGAAGATGAAATAAATTTTGATTAATAAATAAAGGGCTTTTTGAAAAAAAAATATTTGTTCTTACTTTTTGGCACAGTAGTAATTAGAAAAACACCTCTTCAGAAGTGTAATGATAAATAATAATAATAATAAATTCATAAAATCTAATATTCGTGGTGAAATTTACCACCCCAGAACGGAAATAAAAAAAATATAAAAAAGGAAGGGTTCTGTTTGACTTCGCGCCGCTGTTTCATAACCGCGGCGACCTTTTGAACCGCATGCTTCCCTTCCAGACAAACCAAATAAACTACAGAAAGAAAAAAAAAAACCAACAAAAGCAGATCGAAAGAAAAAAGGAAGATAGAAAGAAAGGGTTGCAGTAAACAAGTCCAATCTCACCCGAAATCAAGAGCTCTCAATGCCAAACAGCTATTACAGACGCGCGTGTGTTTTTTCCCACGGTGAACAGTGTTTCTTTATTGTTTAGGCACTGGCGGAGATATCGATATGATGGTAAGATGAGGATCCCATATTGTTCTGAAGGGAGAGTGGCTGTCCCATACGGTCACGATTATAAGAATTTTTTTATAAAAGGTCGAAAGGTAGAGCGATTTTTTTTTTTGTTCGAACCAAACTAAATTGCCTATTTTCTTAGCTAAAAAATTGCAGGTGAAATAATAGATTTTTAACTGTAACATTTTTTTGTATTCTATTTTACAAAATGTATTAAGTATTAAAAATGTTAAGATTTTTTTCTAAGTGATTAATTTTTAGTGAAATTGATACTTTTAAAAAATTGAAGAGGGTTTTCTAAAATACTTAAATATATGAATATTTCTCAGCAACATCCAGGCAGGCTAAACATTATACTATTGTGTCCAAAAAGTAAGACCAATTTTCAATTTAAAGTTCCCGGTGCTTATGGAATTTCCATTTTTTTCTTTTCTAGGTTGGTGGCACTGTCCTTGACATCTGCGTGAAATTTGACGTCAAAATATTCATTCAGTGTTTGCAGTTACCCTTGGCTTTGTGAGATGCCCAAACTGATTCCGCCGATTATTGAAATGTCTGAATTCAATGAGAAAAGGAGATACATTCAATTTTGTTTGTGGAAACGTATAGAATGTTACAGAAGGCATTTGGTGAGCATTCCTATATCAGAAAGAAATGTTTACAAGTGGCATAAACAGTTCAAAGAAGGCAGAGAACGTGTTGAAAACGAAGAGCCCCTGGTCGACCCTTAACCTCAACCGACGAAGCTGACGTCCAAAAAATTAAAGATTTGGTGCTTGCAAACAATCGATTTACAATTAGAGACTTTACTGATGATGTTGGAATTTCAAAAGGATCAGTCAAAACGCGTCAAATCTTAACTGGTACCGTAAACACTAAATGCGCCTATATCGATCCACAATCACCGTCTCCATACCATGCGACTTCTGGCTATTCCTAATCTCAAAAACCACCTGGGACACCGTTTGAGTCAATTGAAGAGATTCAATGTGAATCGCCGCGAGCTTTGAAAGTGCCATCCTGCCGATGACATTTTAGCATGCATTGAGGATGGAAAATAAGTTAGCATAATTGCATTGTGTCCGGAGGGGATTACTTTGAAGGCGATGAAATAAATTTGTAAGAATAAATAAAGAGTTTTTGAAAAAAAAAAATATTGGTCTTACTTTTTGGGCACACTGTATGAAGAAATTGATGATAATTCCAGTAATCGTCATTGGCGAAAAAGCCCCCTATGAACGGCCAAAGGCCGCCTGCCTTAGTGGCAGAATTCAAGCCAGGAGATATCTTTTTTTACTTTAATCTAATTTATCACGAAATTAATTTACAAAAATTTAACATCAATTTTTTTTTTTGT